ATGTATTCTCTCAGCTATACAAATTCTTTTTCTCATTCTCATTCTCATTCTGCTCTCTCAAGGCGAAGACCGCTCTCTCACGGCGGTTTACATGCAGGAAATTTCTACACTCACAGACTCCCCATCGCACAACCTATTATCTTTTCTCTTCTTTAGCACTTTTTATTCATTTTATTCTCTAGTGCTAATTTTTTCTTTCTTTTTATTCTAAGAGAATTTATTCTTTTCTTTATCTCTATTCTTAGAATGTTTCTTTCTCATTACTCATATTTCTTTCTTTGATGATTACACATATAAACATATGCATATGGATGGCTCATGCCTAGAATCTTTCTTATATGCACTCATGAAATGCAAATATGCTATGTTGCATAAAGTAAGGTTCTCTACTTCTACTCATGCTTTTCTTAGGCATTTCATCAAACAATATGTGTGCATACATAAACCTTACTCTAACTATAGTTCTACTTCTTTCTTAACCATCCAAAATTGGAGTTCAACTCCTTCAAATCATCACACATCCTGCAAAGAAAACACACTTCAAATATTCCTCTCAAATTCTTCTAATTCTATCCATACTTCTACCAAATTTTATCAACACAATCCACCCTTCTCATGGTGGAAATCTCTCAATAAATCAACATTGAACTCATTCATAAATCCATCAACTCATTTCAAACATAAAAACTCAAGCATTAATCACTCTATACATCATTCAATCATGCAAATCACAACTTAGGTGGATTTACTTACCTTATACTCAAGTAGAATCCACTTAAGCTCTCTACTCTTGATGGCTTGATGCTTTCTCTTAAACCTTAAACACCAACTTAGTAAGGATCCTACTCTTACACTAATAAAAATTCACATCTAGAGTAAGGATTCTTACCTTTAAGTGCTTAGGATCAACTTGTATCAACTTCTAGTCAAAAGCTCTCCAAAAATCGTTGGAAAATTGAATGAAAGCTTGTGAGAATTGAAGGATGGTGGTGTCCTATGGTAGGTGGGATTTTTTGGTGTTCTCTTTCCTTTCTTCTTGGTGTTTATCTCCCTTTGTGGTTTTAGATAAACCCCTAGAGCGGATGGCTGTTTGTAGGCTTGTTTCTTTTGTTTCCTATTTTTGGGGCATGTCCCAAAACAGGCTAGTCGCCTTTTATTAGGCCTTTGTACATTCTTCTCTTTTTTTAATATGATTACTTACTTATCAAAAAAAAAAAAAANAATTCACCTAGTCTCAACCAAAATCAGGGCAAACACTTAACCAAACCAACTCATCAATCCAACTAAGGGTCAACCAACTGAAAATAACAACATGCAAGCTCAAATGAGAACAAATCAATAAACATTCAAGCAATATAACACAATTTAACTACGTACCTCAAGTGGGGCGTACAGAAAACAATGGGGTGAGCACTAGTTGCTCAATAAGTAAATCCATTATGCTATTCTCCCACCTCCGTTGCTCATATTCTAAATTTCTTTCCTTACATCACATTTCTCTATTCTCTCTGCTTTTTCTCTATTGTTTCTCTGTTTTAATCTCTCACTTTTCACTACTCATGATAGTTGGCATGGTGTCATGCTTAAGTATGATGCAAATGCACAAATGCATAAGATATGCATTTTTCTTTTTCTTTTTCTATTTCTTATTCTGTTTTTCTTTCTTCTATGTGCTTCTTTTTTTCTATTTCTCTTCTTTCTTTCTTATTCCTCTCTTTCTATTCTTTTCTTTCGTTCTTATTCTTCTCTTTCTATTCTTTTCTTTTCTTTCTTAGTCTTCTCTTTCTATTGTTTTCTTTTCTTTTCTTTGCTTTCTTATTCTCTTCTTTTATTTCTATTCTTGTCAATCGGACTCGATTGAGGCATGGATTCGTAATCCTGGCCAGGTGAGTGAGTACAGTCCTCATCTACATGCATTCTTACTTACTATACAAATTCTTCTTCTTCTTATACCGCCCACTAAAGGCGTCGTGCATGTAGGTATATTCTTCTAGGTACAGTCCTCATCCATATATACTCTTACGGACTGTACAAATTCTTCTTCTTATTCTTAGGCCGCTCACTGAAGGCGGCGTGCATGTGGGAATATTCTTCTTCTTGTCACTCACGGGTTTCCCATCATAACAACCTTCTTTTCTTTTAACTTTCTTTTAGAAATTAGTATTCAATTTCTTTTCTTTAATCATTCTCTTTTCTTTCTTTGCTCTTTAATATTCTTATATGCATTTATGCATATAGATGGGTTTTTCTTATTGATGATTAAATGCAAAGATGCAATACGGCATGTAAACATGTCATTCTCTCCTTCCTCTACCATCTACAAACTCGTAATAAAAAAATAAAAAAAATTCAACATACTGATACATGCACTTCTCTATGAAATTTCATCAAACACTTTGCATGCACAAATAAAGCATAAAGTGATTACACTTCCATAACAATCTCTAACCACCAAAATTTTGGAGCAAAGCTCCCTAAAAACAACTCCAAACTTGGCCAGGAAAATACACTCCATAACTCTACTCAAATTCTTTCTTAGCTCATACAAACTTCCATTCTATAAACACAATCATTACTCCTAATGGTGGAATTCTAACCATGAATCATCATCAATTCCATCATCAATTTCATCATCAAATCTCAACACTCAAGCACATAAAGTATATATAAAACTTTCTCTACACACAATATTGATCAAATCAAGGGCTGGGGTTGGATTTACTTACCTTGAGTTTGGGTAGTTCCACATTAGAATCTCTCTCTTTGGTAGACTTCCTCTTCTTCTTAAACCCTAAGCATATAAACTATAAGAATTCAACACTTTAAAAAATTAATCTCACATCTTATTGCTAGAATTCTTCCCTTTGGATGCTTAGGATTGAATATCTACCAAAATCCAACCAAAAATCCTCTAAATTGCCTTGGAAATTTGATGAAGAAATTGAGAGAATTTGGGGATGAAAGTGGCGTGTGAGGGAGTAGAGAATGATAGGGTTTTCATTCTTGAACCCACCCTTAATATCTCATTTATTACTTATACTTTCCCATTTTGCCCTTGTACTTTCTATGAAATTCCATCTTTGTCCTTTATTCAATTACAAAAATACTCTTATTTCCATTACATTCTCCATGAAATTCTACTACTTTTGACTCCCCACATTTACAACTAATTGTGGGTGGAGTGACCATTTTGCCCTTAAGGAAGTTTTCCCCAAATTCAGCAAAATTTCCAGAGAGTTCTTCGCCCCAGCGAAGCTACATTTTTCTGCCACGAATTTGGGCAAAACGTACAATGCCAGGCAACAAACTTCCTTTGCCGCGGCGAAGTCTGCAAAACTTTTCTCAAGCCAATTTTCATGCATACATCTTAGAATAAAGGCATAAAGGCATTAAAACATAAATAGAATTATATATCTCAATGTGGGTGTTACAATAGGTATAGCTATTTACAAGGCTTTTATTTTATTTCCATGTTCTCATTTTGCCTAACTATGATTTCATCTAAGTTTAGATTGCTCAAATATTAATTTTCTTGAATTATAAAGTTAATTTTAACATAAACACATATTAATTGTTCACAAGTAAATTAACAAGTTAATATTTACATACAAAAATTTTCGTGTCAAGAAGTTCTAAACATGTTTGAGAATATATAAATATTTTGGTTTCAACAAGAAGATAAAAAATTTCATACCTGCAAGTTAAAAGATATTGTAACAACTCTAAGGCATAAATTATTGTTCCAAACAACTTTATATAAATATTTTATTTCATCTTAAACATTTAATGTAAAATAACATGCATTTTTTTTTTGCAATATACATATAATTTTAAAGCAGCACTACATTTACAACTTTTTTATACAATCTGCTGTGGCAGTTAGTGATTGGTCAACTTGCAATGGGTCTTGCTTGTCTAAATGAGAGATCAATCACGAGCTGACACATCAAGGTTATATAAAAAAGTTGTATAAAAAAGTTATAAGTATAGTTTTATTGTAATCAGGCAACTTTTTTAAGACATGAATTAAAAAAATTATAACTTATTATAATACAGAGTTTATTCTTATTTATAACTATCTCAAGTTAGGACTAGAATTTTATATGATTACTGGTTATTCCTATATAAAGTATCACTATAAAAATGTTTTAGCGTGATACATAAAAATTTATATTAAATTAGATTTCTTTAAGTTGTATTTCAATATCTTAAAAATATTTGTTTTACAATTTTTTTAATTTACTATTTAAAATTAGTAATTTAAAATTGAAATCTAAGTTTTAGATCACGTGACAATACTACACTAATTATCTAATACTGTAATAATGTGATAAGCAATATGAATTTACTATAATTATACATTAGTATATTAATTAACTAATTAATTAATAATAATATAAACTAATATTCCAAATTTACTCAGAGTTAAATCCTTTTGGTCCCCGTGGTATGGCCTACATAGGTTCCAGTAGAATCTGATAGTAACATTATGGTCGTTGTTAGGTATAAGTTTTTGGGTAATGCTACAATCATCGAGAGTAGTGCACCAAATTTGTACACCGAATGACATGACTCAATCCTGACCATCGATTAATTATAACTTAATATTAATCAACGGTCAGAATTTCTTCACGTCATTCAGTGCACAGATTCGGTGCACTACTCCCGGTGTCTATTATTTTCCTAAGTTTTTTTAAATATGTTTGGAATGGCTAAAATACCCTTAATTTGGTAATAAAAATTTTTCTTATAAATAATTGAATTTTCTAAATTCTTACCAGAATTCTCAATTAGCAGCCATTAATTTTTTTTTTTTTATAATTCTATTAATATTTTGATTTCATCTACATGAGAAAAAATTTTATACAAGAAAAGGTGAGGGTACTTTAGACTTAAAAAAAAAAAAAAAAAAAAAAAAAAAAATTAAAGGCTGCTGCCTCACATCACATACAAGGATATTACCATCCGATTCTACTGGACTTTCATAACTAGGCCAAACCTTAAGACCAAAATGTATTTAACTACTCTTAATAACTGCGGATTATGCAAATGATCACTCGTTCTGGCCCACAACGAACTCATCAAAGTTTAACTTTACTCGAGTCTCTGATCATCAAATTCTTGCGTCCACCGCTGAAGATTCAAGATCTTTTCCGTCAAGAATCTTTATTTCTTTTTCTGCTCCCATTTCTATTCTAACTTTTTTTCGCCTTATCCAATTTCTGGAATCTTCAAAAAGATATCTTTAAACCCTTTTCAATATACTTGAACAAACTATCTGTTTTACTTGTTTTTCCATCTTTTAACTCATACCCATTTCGTCTTCTTCTCTCATCCTGAAGTTGAAGCCAAAGGTACAGTCTTTCGCTCTTGTTTTCCCCTTTTAATTGAAAGTTTTGATTTTTCTATATGGGTTTTAGTTTTAGAGGAGTTTTTGTTACTGTGGTCTTTACGTTTGTTGGTAATGCTCTTAAGATTGTTAAGTTTCTGTATTTGGTTGTTTACTGCTTGTAAGCAGTTGGGTTTGAACAAAATTTTCTACCCAAAAATTTAAGTTAACGCATTGGGACTAGCCGCACTGCTAAAGTGTTAAGTGTCATACCTAAAACAAAATGAATTTGGAATCATTAACTCTCATGAACAGTGATATAATTTAGCAATTGGTGTTTCAAATGTTTAGAATTTGGCTCTGATATTTAATTAGACTTCTGCAGGAGAAAATAAGCTTATAGGTGAGGGGCCTTTGTATAGAATAAATATTCATATCATAAGAGAGCTGAACTAATGTGGGATAACTGTATTGATATTTGTTGTTGATGGTGAGATTGTTATGTTGATGGAAAAGTTTTATGTGTAACGGGCGCATGAGCTTGTCATGGTAGTATTTTATCATGCTTTCATGTTAGTGTGGCATGTTTTTACTGTGTGAATTTAGCAAAAGGATATGTAAACAATTGTATAGGAATTTAGGATCATTAAGGAGGACATAGTCTTAACTGCTTTGATGGATTTTTGGTACTAAAGAATGGGAAATGTGATATGTTGATTTAATTTAAAAAATGTGGAACGTTAATTTGTAGCTGATATTGAGTTAATATGCTATGTAGCTGGCAACTTTTGTCGGCACAGAAATTTTAGGTCATGGTTTAATTCAATTAATTATTTTTATAAAGGTATAGTATTCTCGTGTGAAGAATACATGGTGCCAGTTGCTGCAGAATTACATGGAAAACTGTAGCTAAGGATTGGTAAACTTGGGCTCTTAGGATTCTGAAGATGAGTTGTTCATTCCAGTGATCTCTATGTTGATGATGAACAAAACCTAAATTTTCTGCAGTTTGGAATAATTGATCATATCTGTGAGTTTATTTTTCAGGGAAATTATGTCCCGGAAGATGTGACAGAAGAACTCTTTGACAAATTCAACCTTTTTTGAGGTAATAAGGTGCTGCAAGCATTGAATTTTTCATTTTTGATATCATAAGTAAATCATGAGTTTGGGACTATTAATATTTTAAGTTTCGGAAATAATCTTATTCAATCTCCAATTATATTTCTCTTAAGAACATGTTAGGTTTTATTGCATGAAATACTCCTTTTACTGCCTTATTAGATGCGATCATTTTTTTTTTTTTTTTTTTTTTTTGGGTTTATGAATCGACTGTCAGATGGTCTCTTCCTCTATACTGTTTGCTTTTGAACAGAACCATAGTTTAGAAGGTGATTGTTGTTCATTCTGAAGACAATGGAAACCAATGGTAGTAATTCTCATTCCCATGAAAATCAGACTTCAGAGGTTCCNAAATGCTATCCAAAAATATGTATGCCAGCCTGCACAGGAAAAATGGAGTTACATCAGTTCTTGAAGGTAATGATATTATGAAGTTTCAAGGCCAAGATTTTTAGTTGAATATGCAAGAATTGTGACAAATCATCAAGGGAATGTAATGTATGTTACTCTATGTTGTCAAGTAACCAAAAATGAGTTAAAGATGTAAGTTTAATGTTGCAAGAGTTAGAGATTTAGCAAGAAATTTTATCTGCGCAATATGCAGAATTTTTAGACAAATCTAACTACATTATGCTCGAGCAACTACTTAAGAGACAGAACAAATAGGATTTGACTGTAGAGAAAAGGCGTAAAACTTGAGGTAGTAAAGTTACCATAGACATTCAGCAACAAGAAAAAGACAACAAATAGCCAAAGATACCAGCTGCAATTCATGAAATCGGATAATCAGTAAGATCCATCAACACCCTCTAAATATTGAGTTGATGACAGCATGTTCCATGAACAAATAAAAATTAACCAAAAAATTGTTTCAATTTAAACTAAGCTAATGAAGACTAACCTTATTCCAACAACTTTCTTGAAATCGGCTTCAAGGGTACGCATCAAGTAGTTATGAAAATTGAACTTTGGATTTCCCCTGCAATGAGTCTAAAGAAGAGACTATTCAAAACCAGACAGAACAGTGAAAAGTTCATTGGCAAAGACATATAGAAACATAAATAACTTACCATAATGAAGCCTAGCCGCAAGGTGGTGTAATCTGATTTTGTGACAGATCCATAGAATTGCTTGAAAAATGAATGCTGAAAAATATAACAAGTGAGCAACGAGATCACGCTTGTTAATCATAGAATTCCAAAGAAGTGTTGTGACCTCTAGTTTATTCAACAATTAAATGGGAATAATATAGAGGACACTCTGAAACTTTATAAAGCACTTTCAAAGTAAATGTAATGCTTAAACAAGGTGAGCGAGCGAAGATGTGGTGACTTACCCACCAGCCTAGCAAAGCATAGCCATTTCCGAGACCCTCATAACGATTCTTGATGAAATCATGATCTTGGAGATGGATATATATTCTTCTTTGAACTGCAAAAATTATACTTTATTTGCATAAGAAGAAATCAATGCACACAATAAGAAACTAACAGATGCATATGATTTGACAAAAAAAAATGAACTAAGGATGCAATTTATGGGAGAAGAATTCTCAGGTGCAAACGTTTGCATTTCTCAAGAGAGACGAACTGTTAATAGAGTAAAGCTAGTTCATCCAACAAACGAAAATGTGTAAATGTTACTGGAGAATAAGCATTACCCTCTGGCAGATCATGTTGGCCTTTAAAAGCAGAATCCTCCCACCGTTTCCATTTACGAACCTAGACCATCAAGAAAATAATTTAGCATATAAACGCCATGAAATTAAAGAAGAAAAGTATGATTAAAAGATAAGAAACTATAGAAGATATGAACATAAAAGAAACAATATTATGAGAATTAGTTTACCTTTGCTCCTCCGAAAAGAATGGTTAGAGCACAAAAAGTGACATGCACAACAGCTAGCACAAAGATAAAAATGTGAAGATGATGCAGTGCCGTGATTGATAATATTGACACCTTCCCCTGGATGTGAAAAAAGGAAAAAAAGAAGATTGTCAAGCCTTCTTATTCCAAAATATAATTGAACTATCAAGAGGTACTACTTAAAGATTCAAACACTAAAATCCATCACTCAAATGTTTCAAATTCCTTAAATGTAAACAGCATTAACAAAAAGGTTATTGTAATAGCAAAAATTCTGAAATGTGGATGTGCCAAAATTTTTAAAATTTGGATTCATGTTCAAGAACTTTTTTTTTTTTTTTTTTTTTTTTTTTACAGTTTTCGATGAGAAATTTTGTCTTTTAATGTTTATCGACAATAATAAACTATTAATCCACATTAGAGGATTTATTATAATAGCAATATGTCGATTCGAACCAAAATCTACTCTGTTGCAAAAGATAAATCATCCAAGTAAAATTTTACTGATAGGTAACGTAAGTGATTCTCAATATAATCTACATTAATAATAGCGCCATAACCTTTTTTACAATTGTTATAAAATAAAATCGATTTGCGTTTCCTGAATTTGATCAGAGGATGTGTTGGAGCTTTAGGTGATATTCTTATATTCTGTAAGAAACTGAAGCAATTAATCTTAATTAAACAGAATCTTTTAAGAATGTATGGGCTAGCAACACTGTCCATTGATAATTAGAGATCGTGGAGACACTAAAGAGAAATCCTGACAAACTAATTTAGAGCCATTAGTTTTTGTCGAGTAAATAAATAATAAAATTAAGAGATCGTGGACACTACTATTTCATAATGCAGATGGGTTGATCTTTATTTATGAAACAAAATATAGAAATTGTTTGGTCCAAATACACATCTCCATTGAATTTAAAAAAATAAATTCAATGCATGTGAAATTAATGAAATAATATTAATATCTCCAATCAAAACCCCAACGTGTGAAATGCTTTATAAACACTTTTATTCTAGTATGAACAACCAGTAAACAAAATGAGACAAATTAATGAACGAGATTAAACAAGGGGAGTGTTGAATGAGTTTAATTAATACCTTGCCGGAACAGTAACTCTCCGAGGTTGAGGACTCGGCGAGAAGGCGGCGGCCGTTGCCATGGAAAGAAGAGAAAACAGATTGAAAATGAGCTGTAATATTGATGGTTGCCTTTCTTTCTTTCTTGCAAGGCAACCATTTACTTGCTAATTCCTCAGATATGCAGATTTTGGCTATCATATTTTGAAACACGGTCAGTAACAGTGATATGAACCCCAACAACATCAATTCTGCAGCCAAAAACATTACCACCATCAAGATAAACAATCTTTAAAAAAAAAAAAAAAAAAGAAAAAAAAAAAAAAGAAAAGTTCGCATAATACGAACATCTGCATATTCTAAAATCACAGACTAGATACAAGTCGTTGTGACAACAATCGTTAAAAGATAAAATTTTAGTCCAACTCTTTACACTCAGTATTCATCGAGTGGTACATTCATAGAATAAAATTAAAATAATAAAAAATTCTGGTTACGGTGGACCTTCTTTGATTTTTTGCAAGGCTTCGAAGAGTGGTCTCTGGTTGTTCTTCTTCAACACCTACAATAAGGCAAAAAAAGGGTGTCATTTAAAGTGGATTTTGCATCATTTTGACTACTCTCAGAATTCAGAAACAAATGAAAAAATGAAGAGAGGGAGATGGTGAAGCTTCAACACGCCTTGCCAACATAGTGCAGAAGACGTTCAACAGCTAGAGAAATAACAACAATTACACTACAAACTAAAGCCACCACCCAAGTTGGTGTGTATTCTAATGTTGTTCCTCCTTCAGCCATTTCTGCAACTCTCCAAATCTCTCTTTGTGGATTATATAACAAAACGATATTAATATAAAACAACACAAGATCTTCTTAATTAAATAACAATCATGCACCCCACTAATTAGGAGTAAACACAAACCCAATTCTCTATAATTTATTACTAAATTTTTAAATTCAATATAAAATATATAAGGCAAAAAGTAGTTCATGCATGGAGGAGGAAGAGGGACAACTAGAGTCAAATAATATTATATATTTTCAATAAATATATATTTTATTCTGGTCAATGAAGTGATTGATATATTATTTATAGTATTTCGAAAAGAATGAAAGTAATGAGAAGTAAAACTAGAAGAAGAATTGCGGTGAGCTCCTCCGGTTTGTTGAACTTACAAGACGATTTAACAGTGAGATACAAGTGCAGATGGATTGCCAATTAATGAAGAAAATCTTAATTGACTAAATCCTCATTAATTGTTCACGACATATATAGCTTCTAGTACTGGCCATTGATGATTGAACCACAAACACAAATGGTAAAGAACCTTTTATGTAACACATTAATTGCATTTTGATTTCTGGTTAAATTTAGAAATTAGATACTAATTGTATATTATAATTTGGTATTCTGGAAGGTGTATATAATTGTCTGTTTTGGTACAATTTCTTCGAGTAAAAATTACATGAGTACAACTTTTAAGTAAAATTTTTTTGAGTAAATGGAAATAGTGAAAGAATGAGACCCCCAACAAGGGAATCTCTACAAGAGTTTAAACAACCTGGACATTCCCAAGATTAGGGTTGCAAATGAACCGAGTTGTTCATGAACAACTTGATATTTGTTCGATAACTGTTTGATTTAATACGATAACAAACTGTTCGGAACAGTTCGATGCTTGTTCGATAATATATTCGATTCGAGTTCGAACATAAGATGTTCGTTTGATTATGTTCGCGAACATACTGTGTTTGACTGATATATCCGTTCATAAACAATCTGTTCGATTATTCGTTCATTTATGTTCAAAAAAACATGGTATACATTATTATATATATTTATATTTTTTGATTTTTTATATTATGTTTAGTTTGGATGATTTTTTTTAATGATAATCAATAATAAAATATTATGATGTTTTTGTTTTTGTTTTTGTTTTTCTTATATATATATAATATGTTTGGATTTTTTTTTTTCAAATGTCATCAATAATTAAATATATAAGTATATAGCATTTTAATTAAAAAATAATAAATTATTATGATATATAGCATGGCAAATTTAATAACATAATAGATTGTATAATCAAGTGATAGATAGCATAGCAAATCTAATAACATAATAACTTCAGATTTTTCCAAATGTAATCAATAATTAAATATTATGAGATAACATTTTAATTAATAAATAATAAATATAGTATGGTAAATCGATGAATATGATATATTGTATAATCAAGTGATGTATATCATGACAAATTTAATAACATAATAGCTTAATTAAATATAGTATAGTAAATTGATGGATATAATATATTGTATAATCAAATGATATATAACATGACAAATTTAATAATATAATAGCTTAATTAAATATAATATGACAAATTTATGAACATAATATATTATATAATCAAGTGATATATAACATGACAAATTTAATAACATAATAGCTTAATTAAACTTGAATTAATCACACATTTGTATTGATCATATATTACAATAGATCCTCATACCACTATGAATTTATGGGTATTGATACAAAATATATATGTAGACAGTAATGATTATACATATATGATAACCTATAATTTTGATAATTTAATAACATATTAAATATATTTAATCTACGATTAATATATTTATGATAATAATTTTGTATATAATAATTACACAATATATTGATCACACATATGTATTGATCATTTATTATAATAGACATTCATTCTACTATGAATTTATGGGCGTTGATACAAAATATATATGTAAACATTTAAAATATTTATGATAATTTATAATAATTTATATAATGATAATATATATATATAAATTCATAGTAGAATGAAGATCTATTATAATATATGATCAATACATTATATCAACACTCATATGTATTGATCATATATTGTAATAGACCTTCATTCTACTATGAATTTATGAGTATTGATACAAAATATATATGCAAACATTTAAAATATTTATGATAATTTATGTAATGATAATATATATATAACCAAAATACTAACTCAAGCCAGTCCAAATTTTAAAACAAAAATCCAAACCCAATTCCACATTTTCCCTTACACGACCCAACGCAAATTTTAAAACAAAAATCTAAACCCAATTCCACATTTTCCCTTACCCAACCTAAAATCCAAATCCAATTCAGTCACAACCCTAATTTGGTTAATCGAACGAACTCGAACATTATTCGAACAAGTTATTCGAACAAATATTTACAAGTTATTCGAATGATTTAATCAAATGATTAATCAAACGATCAATCGAATGATTAATCGAACGATCACAAACTGCTCGTTTGGTTAATCGAACGAACTCAAACAACCATTCTGTGTTCATTCGAGTTTGAACACGATTTTGAACTCCCCTTTGTGCTTATCGAACGAGTTTCGAAATGGGGTGTTCGTTCGTGTTCGGTTCATTTGCAGGCCTACCCAAGAACCAAACAAACACTGTAACAACAAAAATAGTTTAAACAACCAGCAGACAAATCACACGGAAGCCTAAGACAAAAGACCAACAACACAAAAAAGGCAGGCCTTACATCAAACCAAAAAAACCAACCTGTACAAATTTACATGTAGACAAGGCTAACAAAAAATACTAATTGCAAGCCAGCTTGTACTCCTAAAAACTTGTTATTAGCCCACACATCAACAACAAAAGTAAGTCTCCCTCCGAGGACCACACTTGAAAACAGGTCCAAAACCACATAACAGAAGCAGCTCCAGTGCATATCTCATAGAAAACATTCAGCCACCCATCACACGGCCAAACTAATGTGTCCAAATAAAGACACATTCAAAGGCCTTGAGGAGGAGGTAACTGCAGCATCAACAAGAAGGAGCAGGGGATACAGGGGTAAACAGTAATTAAACAAGGTATCCTATCGAATAAAGATAAAAATCTTGCCTTCATCCAAACCATAAAACAAACTCCCAAACACATTAGCCAACAAGGACACCACCAGTAAAAAGATGATGTGGATAGGATTGAGATAGTCCTTAAACCCATAGCAAGAAACAAGGTAGAAGAACAGAAAAAAACCAGCTTCCCTGCCCAAATAACAGGTCTCATCTCCTTATCCTAGCAATACCATATCCATTCCACACCTTCATAACCGTAATTGTTCCCTCTACAACACCTGAAAAGGACACAGAAGCTGCACAACATAGATAACAACATGGTAAAAGAGTTAAAATGTGTCAGTCTTTATACAATCCCTGGGGAGGTTCCATTCTTCAATTACTTTACGAACTATGCTATTATCTTTGAACTTCAAAGAGTGGAGTTGAAGCCTAACCTCCCCAAACACTAGAACGTCCAAAATATCTGTACTTCTCCACATGTTCTTGAACAATAAAAAATTCCGCTCCTGTCATAAAAGTACACCACAACACTAAATAATAGTTTGCGAATAACTCTTGGGATATGTTTACCTCTAAATTTAGCTGTACACCAGTTTACAGTGTCATTCCATCCACTCGGTGGTGGTTGAAAATGCCCCTTATTTTGAACAGCCTTCCACACTCTTTGAGAGTAAGGGTAGTAAAAAAAGAGGTGATCATACAAGTCCATGGTGCCATTATAGAGCCTGCAGCAAAGATCTCCTGGGTTCACCCATCTTTGCATTCTGTCTTGTATTAAAAGCTTTCGAGTAATGGCAAGCCAAGTAATAAACGACTGGCCGAGTATGCAAGTGCCATTCCAAATTAAAGAAGACCAAGGAGCAACTCCATTGTCCATGTAGAGGTCTTTCCAAACCTGTCTTGTGGAAAACTGAATCCTTTTTCTAGTCTTATCATACCAATATAAGGTGTCCTTAGTGCTAGCCATGGAAATATGAGGAGTTAAGTAGTTACACATAGGTAATCCTCCGCAAGAACTTCAGGCCACTCCCATGGTCATTTCTAATGATATCACTAACTCGAGCATTATGCCCTAAGCCTGAAACATAGAAGATCCATGAAGGAATAATCTTGTGAAAGGGTCCTTACGGATGCCAATTATCAAACCACAAAGAAGTATCCTAACCATTTGCAAGATCTGTCCGAATATGATTTCTGACCTGATCTCTCATTTTCAATACTTTACGCCAACACCAACTAGCATCCCAAGCAATACGAATATTCCAAAAACTCCTCCCCCTCAGCCTGTAGGTATGGATCCATTTGACCCACAAAGAGTCCCTTACAAACAAAATACTCTAAAGGTGGTACATCATCAAAGCAATGTTCTTACTTCTGAGAGATCAAATCCCCAGTCCACCCTCATTTTTAGGACTACAGACATCTTATTAGGACTACAGACATCTTTCCAAGAAACCCTTATCTTCCCTTTACACATATAAGTACCTGACCAAAGAAAAGAGGGCAAAAGTTTTTTAATTGTCTGAACAACTGAGCTGGGAAGAATGAACACAGAGGCCCAGTAAATATGAATAGAGGAAAGAACCGATATAATTAACTGTAACCTACCAGCATAGGATAAACCCCAATTTTTCCAAGACTTCAACCGTTGTTCCACCTTATCAATCAATGGGAAATAATCTCTATGAAATAATTTGGTGGTAATGAGGGGAACACCAAGATATCTAATAGGAAGCTTTCCTTCAGCAAAGCCCATAATATTGTTGATAATAACCTGGTGCTCATCTTTTACATTACAAAAAAATGTGGAGCTTTTGGCAATGTTAAGAACCAGGCCAGAAAATTCAAAGAACTCTGTAAGAGCATCACATAGGACTTGAACTGAGTAAGGGTCCCTATGGCAAAAGAGGAATAAGTCATCTGCAAACAAAGATGACTTATTCCAAGCTTATCAAAACGGTGATGATATTTGGAATCCTCTCGTTGCCGAATTTTGTGAATAAATATTTTCCTGTTCATAAGACTAATTCTATTCGCATGGAAATTTCTGAGTTTTCACAAAAGGAGGATGAACAATACTGGGAAGCTTGGGAGAGATTTAATGGGTTGCTTTTGAAGTGTCCCCATCACAGTTTTGAAAAATGGCATCAATGCCAATATTTTCTGGAAGGATTATTGCCAAATGTTCAAGAGTGGTTGATGGCATCAAGTGGAGGCGAGCTTATGTCTAAATTAAGGAGTGACAGAAATTTAGGATTTCTTTCAAAGACAAGCAGATAATTCTCAATAGAGGAATATGTCTTCTAGGAATGATAGGAAAAGAAGAGGGGTGTATGAAATCGAAAGTGGTGAATCAAATTCAGAAATTAAAGAAATGAAAGTCATGATGGAAGGACTTTCTCGTCGGCTAGCCTCTTTAACAACTAATAACCCTACGGAGCCACTTGTTTGCAAGCAACTTGAACACGATACATACTCTGACCAAGTCAACTCCTTCAACCTATTGAGAAAACAGCAAGCCTACAATCCTTACTCAAATACTTATAACCCAGGATGGAGGGATCATCCCAACTTTTCATGGTCACAGGGTCCTCACAAAATGGCATAATAGGTGTAACTCCTCAACCAGGTTTCAAACCATTAAATCAAAATTTTTCATAGCCTAAGCCAAAAACTTGTTGTGCAAATTTTAAATGTACTCGCATGCGCAAGTCCATTGGAGTATAGAAACGTAAGCAACAAGGTCGAACCCACAAGGATTGCTTAGCCTAGAAAATTTAATCTAATTTAGCAAATTATATTTCTAACACTAATGAAATTTAAAATAATGAAACTGCAGAGAAAATAAAGAATGACAAAAGTAATTTAGAAAATTCAAAAGATTGAAACTACCAAGGTTTTAGAATCCACCATTGTCTAACTTAGCAAATTATCTAATTAACAAATTAACTTCCCAAAAATCAGAGTGACAAATTGAAATCAATCTATGTCATCTCATGGATAAATCAATTAAGCCCCAATTTAACAAATCTAATATTGGTTTTACATCTCTCTATTAGTTGTGTGCCTAAGCATTCATTGTATCGATTTGGTAGAAGAAAACAAAGAATCAAAGGAATCACATTATTCTTTAGAGGACCAAGCATAGATAAATTAAATCAATTTTCTAACTGTCAAAAATACTTTATATTAATGATGAAAGAAAATATAATTCAATTATCTATATAAGCAAAAACCATAATCTATGAAGAACAAATAAATGGAAATTAATCTTTTAAAAGGAGAATCACTTCATTAAACAAAGTTTCATCCTAAACCCTTGTAAAGGAAAATTAGAAACACATGGTTGAGATTAAAGAGTCAAGGAGGATTGAACCAATAATCGACATCTTTCTTTCTTCTCCACAGCCGCCTCCTCCTGCCCTTTTCTAAAAGAACTGCCCTTTTTTTATAGCCAAAGTTCGACTAGCCTCCAGCAAAAGAATAGGAAACTAGTGTTTTTTTTATTATCTTGGACTCCAAGTTTTCTTATTAATTGCCAACTGGAACCAGGCTTCTTTTGGTTTGGGCTTCTCAAGGATTCTAATAGTAAGTACTGATCCAAACTTCATTCCTCCCAATTAAGTCCAGCTCTAATGTGAAGAGTCGGTTTTGCCCTCTATTCTTCCTTCTTGCTCAAATCTATCCAGAATTCGTAGTCTTCAAACATGTCCAAAATCGAGCATGATAACTCCAGAATCTGGCAAAGTCGTGAACATATGAATTATAGCCCTTCGAATCAGCTTTCCAACGCTTCAAGAATCGTCCAAATCTGAAGTTTAGAGCTCAAGTTATCGTAAAAATACTGAAGCTTTTCCGAAACTCGCGATTCCCGCATGAATGATTGTCCTAAGTTACTTGATAAAATATTCAATAATGCAATCCATATCCAAGTTTGATAACCTAAAGAAAATCAAAGGTAAATAAACAAAATTAATTAAAGAAGTAATAAATATGATTAAAAACAACTAACAAAATAATATTAAGGGATAAATAATGTATTCAAACCATGCTCAACACCCACCCCACTAGCGATATAGCTAAGGCCAACATTATTCCAAAACTCCAAAGGCACATCAAACAGTTTCACCCATAACAGAATCACCTGAGGAGCTATTTTACTAAGCTCCATAGCTGGACGCCATTTCTGAAGGAGAATAGGTCGGTTTTGGAAGAGCCATGGACCATCCTCCACACATTGAATCATTTCAGATTCAGTTCCAAACTTAAGAAAGAAGAAAACTTTATCATTCATCATCACCTCTGTGATCCCATATTTCCTCCACAACTTCATCGCATACGATTGAACAATGTGAAAGGGAAGCTTTTTATCTATGAACGACCCCACTAAGCAATTTGCCCACTGCCTTCTTCAGTTCTTCCCTCAATAGCAACTGATACAGGTGGGCAAATTGTTGTCACTCCTGGTGCATCCATAGACGGTTTAAAGTACGTCATCAACATTTTAGCTCTCTGATTCCGGTCGCCGGCAATAGACACCTAACTCCGATGCTAACTGCCCAAAGGCCTCCCCTCTTGGTCAACTTCACTGCCCCCCACGTGAGGACTCTTTCCACCATTTTGAAAATTGTCCATAGGAAAGACCATTTGGTTACTACTAGGCCCAAAATTATTGCTAGTTGGCAACTCCTCACCGTTGTTGATTCTATTCAAAGAAGCAACACCCAACCCAATTTCCTTCTCTGGCCCATTTGAGAAACCCATAGAGAAATTATTCAAACCATTAACATTGACTCCATGGGGATTCCTCAGCCCATTATGAAAATATTGGGCCTAAAGCACTTCCATCCCCCCATCCAGCCTAAGAGGCCATCATCTGCTTCCAACTACCATCGCCTCACCAGCAACGGCCGGCGACACCCTCCCATCATCCACTATCAAAGGTTGTCCTCTTTCAAATCCTGCAACAATAGAATGAACCATGCCATTCGACAGACCTTCACATCTTGACGGAAGGCTACGCGACCTACTGTTCCTACCATCATCAGATCCCATAACAGGACAGCTAACGAAAGGGGGACTGTGGCCAGCTTGCAGTGTCCTCCCAGCACCATTTACCATTGATCCTTCCTCCACGCAAGACAAATTCTGAGACATTTGAAGGACTTGAGCTCTATTACAAGATCACTACCATGCAAGGACTCCACCGATTCAAGATTGAAGTGGGATGTTTCAGATCGCCCATTTGCAAGATTAATTTCAATCTTGCCACTTGAGACCAAATTCATCATAACAAGAGCTTCAATTTCATCAAAATTAGCTGTTATCTTACCTTCACCCCCATTTTTCTTACTACCTGAAGAAAACCCTAACTTCACTTCCTTTTGCAGACCCTTCCTAAATAGCCCCGATTTCTCTTTCACACCCTTCTTTGTTTTCATAATCTGGATGTCGAATGACGTCAGAATCAAGCGAACTCCCAGCCGAATCTTGAGAAGAAGTGGACTTCGAAGCAAGCACATGTATTTCCAGCCTTCTTGTAGTGAGAACGATCAAAATTGTCACTTTTTAAGTAAAATTTGTTAATTGTTTGACAGCCAAACGCTTTACGCATACCCAAAGTTTTTCGTAACGACAAAGTAGTATCCAAAAGGTTTTAAAATGACAAATAGGTACCTTCCGTCTGTGCTATTAGTGGTTTCTATTTGGTAATAGTGAAAAGACTAGAATGCCCTTGAAAGTTTTGATATTTTAGTATGCGTTTGGTTTAATATTTTTATCCCTATTCTGGATCCTATTTTTCAAATCGCGTTTGGTACAATATTCTCAAAATATTACCCTATTTTTTTTAATTACATTTTAACCCCATAAGGTTATTAATTTCACTAAATACCCCCTGAAAAAAAAGTTTAAAATTAACAAAAACACCCCCATCAACCCAACTTGTCAGATTCCGGCAACCACCGTCGGTGATAGCCGGAATCTGTACAACGGCCAAACTTCCGACCAGAAATGGCCGGAAGTTCACCGCTGTGGCCTTTTCCGGCCAGATCCACAACGGATCTGGCCGGAAAAGGCCAGATCTGGCCGTCAGCGACGGCCAAAGAAATGGCCGTCGTTGACGGTCAACGACGGCCAAATCTTGGCCGTCGTCGATCGAAAACGACGGCCACATCTTTGGCCGTCGCTGACGGCCAAAGATGGCCGTCGTTTGGCCTTTTCCGGCCGTCGACGGCCAAAACAAACCATAGATCTGGCCTTTTCCGGCCAGATCTACCATGGATCTAGCCGGAAAAGGCCATAACGATGTGTTACGGCACAGATCCGACAAGTCTGTGCCGTAACGAAATTTTCCGGTCAGATTCCGGCGGTGGTGGCCGGAATCTGACACTGCAGTGGTGGGGGTGTTTTTGTCATTTTACATGTTAGGGTCTTTAGTTAAATTAGTAAACCTAAGGGCTTTTTTATAAATTTTTAAAATTTACCTCGTAATACTCCCATATCCAATAACCCAATACTACCCTTAAAATCCTATCCAAAATACTAAACCAAACGCACCCTAGTTTTTTATAAATTTAAAAATTTCTAAAAAACCCCCTAGGTTTACTAATTTAACTAAACACCTCAACATGTAATTTTTTTTTAAAATAACAAAAACACCCCAACCACCCACAGTGCCAGATTCCAGCCACCAGAATCTAGCTGAAAAATTGTGTCAAATCTGTGTTGTAACTCGTTGATCTGAAAAGGCCAGATCTACGGCCAGATTTGACCTTATTTTTTAAATTTCAGCATTTTGAATAAGCTGAAAAAGAGCTTATGAAAGAAGCTCAAATCAGTAGAGGTAAAATAGTTTATTTAAAATCCTATAAACATTTTTGAGATACAACCAATAATCTAAAAAGAATTACAAAATTGTTTTTTACTTTAAAAGCTTTTTCTGACCTACAGATAAGTCTAACCAAACAAGCTTTAAAACTAGTTTAAAAATCAGTGCTTCTCTAAGTATAATATAGAGGAGTAAATCTTCTATATGGAAGTAGATATAATAAAAATATAGTTTTATGATTAAAAAAAAAAAAAAAAATTTGTCGAGTTGGATTGTGCAAGTTTAGCCAAAAGAATTTTCTATTAAAATTACCAATTAAAAAAGTTTCCTTTGCGAGAAATAGTTATAATTATATACAGAGTAATGCTTCCTCACCCCATAGTAGTAGTTGGATTGCCTCCAAAGTAAAGTATAAAGAGGCAATCTAATGCCCTCGGTAAAGGGGTCATATAAATTCAGTAGCAGCACCAGAAAATTGGGTAATGTTATTTGTACAAACTTTTTATATAAAGAGAGTTTATACAAATTTACATGACACGTTATAAAATATGCCATGTGGTATTGAGACCTATGTAACTTAAAGTCACATTAATATTATGTGAGCCCTCATCCCGAGCCCTCACCCCCCAAAAAACAAAAAAAAAAATTAGTTGGGGTTGTTTTTGTTTCTCATTTTCAATAAAATCTCTCTAATTTTTTGTGTTTGCTTTAAAAAAAATAATTGTAAACAATGCTATTTTTTTTTCTTGAAAGGATAATTTTATAATATACCAAAAACTCGGGGCAACATGCTTTGGCAGCCGAGTTTGTATAAACCCATTTCGGCTATTCCTTTTACTACAAGTACAAATGTTAAACAATAGTCTTCATGTAGAAGTCCTATAAGATACATTAATAAAACTTGTTTGATCATCATCTTAAAACGTCCTAATATCCTAAAGATACATCATTAAAATTTTTGTCCGTTCATGATCTTAAAACGTATCTTAACTCGTTAACAAATGGAGCAAACCCTAAGACAACTTCGGAAGTTCTATAATAAATATAAAAAAAAGAAAAGAAAAACAGCTTGTAAGGAGAAAATCGATGAAGCTCTTCATTTTAGCCGAATAGGGAGAAACCCTGAATGTGATGATGAATTTAAACTAGATTCACTGTCAACCCTTTTATGCGCTTTCTTTTTCGCCTTCTTTGCCCAAGAAATAAGTCCTTCTTGTACTTGTTCGTTGAATACTGAACCCCTAAAATTGCTTCCCATCTTCATAATTTACACCAAATATTGAAACAGCATAAACTTTTGTTAGACTTAATGCTCACACAAAATATTATTTTCACTATTAAATACAAAGCAATAATATAATGTTGAACTCACCCTTGCAACAATTGCATAAAGTGGAAGGGTACTATAGCTACAAATGAACTGAACAAATGCCCTGGAAAATATTAATTGCAAATTTGAATATTAGCATTAAGATTGAGATGGGTAACGTTACCTTAGTTGGATAAGATTTCTCATAGTTTATTAAAAGAATTCTACCGATCGAACGAAAAATAATAAATGAGTTTACCCTATGAAAAGTCTTGGAATGATAAATTTAACATTTCCCATTATGCAGGATTCGAAACCATATTGAACCTGGAGAGATGTAAGATTGATGTATCAATAATGATGATGATCACCATATATAAAAATATATGTATAGAATTATAATTAATTATGTGGTGAATTAAAAACTAACCCAAATCCAGAAGAAAACAGCAATTTCGAAGGAATTTTGGAAGAGAGTGACATGAATGAGAAGGAGAACAAACTTGGGTCTATTCAACCAGAAATGATGATCAGAGGGCTTCACTATCAAATCTCCTTCAACAGCCATGTGTTTCTGAGCAACTTCAGTCGCCAATTGGGTGATTATATGCTCTAGTTTAGTCCCCACAGCAATTAGGAGCTGCAATTAATTACCAAGTGGAGAATTAAGTTGAAAATTATGGAAGAAGGAATAATCTTTGAGAATAATTAAGTTTGCGTAACCTACCAAGAAAGGAATGAATGATATCCAAAAGTATGCATGCAAATCTGCAAAGGAAAATTAACCCTGATTAATTATTTTGTACATATGAAAGTTTTCAAGTGCGGACCTAAAAATCTGGACTTCAGTTCTTGTTAATAAGGCAAGATTATTGTCTTTTAACGCCTTTGAGAGTTGAAGCTCAGATTTTAAAAACATCATTGACTCTTACTACAGGAAAACCTGTCCGCACCTACGCCAAGCCTGACACTGGAACCTGGCGCTGGTGCTCATGGCATCTAGATGTTGTTACAATACCCCAATGTCACCAGCGTCGAAGGAGGGGTATTACTCTGACACAGACAGATTGCCTCGTAATAATATGGAAATATTGAAATAGGTCAACAAGAATAACTTACCATGGACATTAGCCAACAAGAAAAGTACCACAAACGTCCAGCAATACCAGCTGCAATTAGTAAGACCAATCAGAAGAAAAATAAAATCAATTAAATTTCAAGGTATATATTTGACCAAAAAATGAAAAAGAATCAATTGAGTTTCTAAATAATTACCCAATGCCAACAACTTTCTTAAAATCATCTTCAAAAGAACGCATCACATAGTTATGAAAATTGAACTTCGGATAACTCCTGCAGTGATTCTACCAGAGAAATTAATTAGAATAATGGAAATTAAACAACTATAATAAGCATTAATTTAGGCTTTTTTATGAAGCTTAATTCAAAAATGAATTACCATAATGAAGCCTAGTCTCAGAGTGGTATAATCTGACTTGGTTATTGATCCACAGAATTGCATGAGAAATGCATGCTGCATGCAGAATAAAATACTACTGATGAAGCCAAGCAATAAAAAAACAACAACAAATTGAATAAGAAGTGGTATATATTTAGTTAAAATTAAGTTGAAGAAGCAGAAAATTAATTAAAAAATTAGGAATATTTTCATGACTTACCCACCAACCTCTCAAAGCGTATTTCTTGCCAACACCCTCAAAGCGATCCTTTACAAAATCATGCTCGTGAACATTGGTAAACTTATTTAGAACTGTAAAAATAAGGAAATTAATTAATGAAAGTCTAATTATAATTGAAGCAATTAATAATATAGTCATTAGGTTTTAGGAAACATTACAGTTCTTCTGATCATGTTCATCTGCGATATCATCCTCCCATTGTTTCCATTGACTTATCTAAATCAAGATTAAGGAATTATATTAATTATAATAAACTCTAAATTAATTAAAGCTACAAAAATCTTTGAAAAGTCATAAGATCAAAAGGATGAAAAAATTAGGCAAATAAGTTACCTTTGCTCCTCCGAAAAGAACAGTTAGAGCACAGAAGGTCACATGTGCAACAGCTAGGACGAAGATAAATATGTGAAGATGATGCAATGCTGTGGCAGATAACAATGCAACCTTACCCTGTGAATTGAAATGATGGTATAAGAAAATTAGTTAAATACTACAAGATCTTCAATCACAAGGCTATAGTTATGTACACATAAAATGCAAATAACGTTTATTGATTATAGTTAGTGATTTATTGTTATTAATAAACATTATGAAATTTGGTCTTTTAGTGTTTACTGGTAATAATAAACGATAATCTAGATTTAAAAAAAATACGGATGTTTAGATTTGAGACTTTTCTGTCTTTTACATGTATTGTCTAACAAATTGACTAGTATGCTTGAAGCTTCACTGTAGGAAAAAAAATATAATCTATGAGAAGAAATTTTGATGAATAAATAAATAATCAATTAGAAATCTCTTGTGCTTTTAAAAATTCAGACCCTCATTATTTGTTATCAACTAGTATGAATAGACAAAATCTGCAACTTTATAACCGATAAAGTTTGATAGATATTTTATTTTTGTAAAATCAATAGATCTTAACAAACAATTTTATAGTATAAACCCTCGGTTGTTGATAACAACTATCGTGAAAAGAAAATTTTATATTTTTTTCCAAGAGAAAGTTTGACCAAAATTTTATTTTTAAACGATAGTTGGCACCAAACTAACAATGTTAGCATGCATTTTTCGAGAAGAGATGAAGTGATGATGATTAAATAGTAAAAATTTACCTGTTTAGCACAATAATCACTGGAGGAGGAGCTGGAAAGAAGATGACGGCCAACGCCATGACGAACAACATAGGAAGAGAATAAGGAGTCAAGGTGGTATTTCATCAAATGAGGTGTCCTTCTTAGGTGATTTCTACAAGGCAACCATGTTTTCGCTAATGTCTTTGATATACAAATTTCAGCAATCAGGTTTTGGCACACTGTGAGTAGTAATGAGACGAATCCCAGAAGCATCAATTCTGTATCCCCACAAGGATCGAATTAGACCATTGTTACAGTAATCATAATTGATAGTCAGCAAGAAGTCAATAAGCATTAAAAGGATAACAGGGATGTATTATATACATGAAATATAAATTACAAATTACAAAACTATTCGAAAATTAAAGTTGTAGTTTAATTTACTTGTTAATTTTGAAAACATTTTGACCAAATCCTATTTTTCTTTAAAAAAAATAAAAAATTCTTGCATCTCTTGTTTTCAAAATAAAAATATATATTTAAATTCTACGTCAAAAGTAGTCCAAAACTTTCAACTGTCTTGTGTATGTATAACATATATAATTAAGGTTGCAATCTGTTGATTCTTTGAGAGAAAATTTATAGGTAGGTAACCTTCTTTAATTTTTTGCAAGGCTTGAAAAAGAGGAGTCTGATTTTTTCTCTTCAACAACTGCAAAACAACGAATCAATATTGAAGATTTTTGAATTAGGGAGAAGGAAATGAATTAAATAAATTCTATAAATTAAAAAAGGAATTTTTTTTTTTTTTTAAAATATTTATGCATGCCTTGCCAAGGTAATGGAGGAAGCGTTCGGCACCCATGGAAGCCGCAACCATAACGGTGCACACGGCGGCAACCACCCATGTCGGCGTGTACTCTAACGTTGCCCCTTCAGACATCAATCTCTCTCCTAAATTTATTTATCACGGCTACCTCTCTCTTCTATCTCCTTCCCCAGAAAAAAAAAAAAAAAAAAAAAGAAATTAAAGTTTTGTATGTACAAGTCAATGAGAGAGCTACCTAGCAAGTTTTCTATTTAATATGTGTTATCTATTAATTTCTGTTCGTCCTCAAATATAATTAATTAGATTAACAAAATATGTTTGTTTAATTAGCTTGGAAATTAACTGCGTTCCAATTTTAGATTTTCTAACCTTCTTTGTAGTGGTTTTTACATCCCTAAGTACCGGTTTTTACTCGAGGATGTAACAATATTTTCTTTTGTATTTTGATAGTTAATCTTTTGAGTTCTATACATTAATCGAGAACATTCCAAAAAATGGGTGGAAGGGTTTAGCATTTATAAGAAAAAATTAATATGTTGAACTAATAAAGTTTTGAGATTAAATGTTGGACCATTTATAAAATAATCTAAAGTTATAATATTAAGAAAATAATAATACTACGTATACAAACAATCACAAGTGATAAATAATAAGAAGAAGAAGAAGAAGAAGAAGAAGAAATAATAGCAAATTGCGAGAATCTTTGAGAATTTAGTAACCAGAATTAGAGTCGAATGCTATATATAGGGTTTACACCTCGAACTATTGAAGTATAGCCTTTTTTTTAGATTAAATATGAAATCATTTATAAATATTATAGTTTAAGAGTATCTTTCTAAAAATTCAGTACACCAGATTTGAGTTGACTGTTATATATACCCCAACAAATCTCCTCAACAATTTTCTTAAAAAATTTATGTCTTATAGATATACTAGAATCCGATAAACATTTAATAGAAATTAAAAAGCCGATCGCAAAACACTTTGCTAAAAAGATTGATTGAAATTATCAGTCGTTGCCTATAGGGGCGGATCCAACCCATTTTGGGTGGGCCATGGCCCACTCTCAATTTTTTTTTTAAATATTAATATATATAATTTTTGGCTTTTGGCCCACCCTAACAAAAATATTAATGGACAAAAATATTAATATGTAATTATTTTTTATTATGACCCACTCTAAAAAAAATTTCTAGATCCGCCACTAGTTGCCTATAAGGAACATCAGCACACTTCTTAAACCACCTCATCTGTTCTCAAAGCACAACATATTATTATTGGTACATGCACTTCCAAAAATAGGAATTAACATTTATATTTTATTTTTTTTCATTGAGTTGATATAGCATTATGAGTTTCTATAAGAAACTATATTCAAGGTTAACTCTAGGAGAGAATCCTCCATACAATGATATATATGCAACCAATCAATGGCAAGATGAGTGTGTGACAAACGCGTTGACAATGATATCTTATAATTGGTTAATTATATGTACATACGATATAAGAAGGTTTTTTTTTTTTCCTTTTTATTTTAGCCATGCATTGATGCAATGTAGCTAAATAAAACCAAAACATACATAGTTAACATTCTCTTTATTGTCATAATTATTTGTGATGATGTGGCTTTTTATTAGCCACGGTGGAAGTCAGCTTTGGTGTTAGGAGTCCAACAAGTAGTGTGATGTCATTTTGGATAAACCCATATGAATATTGTGTTTCAGCTATCACACTTCTCATGCTCGGCTTTCTCTTTTCTCTCCCTTTACCTCGATAGTTCGTGACCACAAAAGAATCTTTCAAATTGCTATTCATCTTACGGTTATGGTGTGAAGATTTAAAGAAGAAAGAAATAATGTGTAGATCTGATTTGTATTTAGCTAATTAAACTAAAATTACAACCAAAATATCTCTTATATACAAAGGAGAGAATACATGAAAGAATTGGTAAAGTGTAAAGTGAAGAGAGTTCAGTAGCTCGTTTGAGCTCAAAGTAAAGAAGATCAACTCAAAACGACAGCGTATTGGTGAATTACTGTGAGACCCTTTATCTTTTATAGAACGGCACTTTGCACCCTTTGCATTATATGGTTGACATTTCACCTCAAACTGGACTACTCTTCATATGGTTTTAGAGCCTCTTGTTTTCTTCCAGCAACATATAATAGAGAACTTCATTTTTACAGCTTTAGAACTGCTTACACTCAGTATAGCTTTAGAACTACACCAAAAAGAAACTGCATTGTTCTGCATTTTTTTCTTATCAGATTTCTTGTTTCTTCTAGCAACACAATACACATCAGCAGAGAACTGCACTTTTACAGCTTCAGAACTCTTTCACACACATCAACAAAGAACTCTTGCACACACATCAAACTTCACTTTTACAGCTTCAGAATTGCATTTACACTCATAACTGCATTTTCATAGCTACTTGCATTTTCATAACAGAACTGCTTTAGTACAACTTTATGAAACTGCACCAAAAAAAAAAAAAAAAAAAAAAATTGCATTTTTTTCTGCATTTTTTTTTTTCTTATCAGATTTCTTGTTTCTTATCAACATAATGAAAACCATTAGCAACACAATACACATCAGCAACATTTTCACAACTTCAGACCTGCACATTAACAGAGAACTCTTGCAACATCAACAAAGAACTCTTGCACACACATCAAACTTCATTTTCACAGCTTCAGAATTGCATTTGCATAGCTGCCTGCATTTTTGTAACTGAACTGCTTCTTACTCAGTACACATCAAAGCAACATTTTCACAACTTCAGACCTGCACACCAACAGAGAACTCTTGCACACATACCAAACTTCATTTTCAAAAAAAAATTCCATAGCTTTAGACCTCCAAAATTGCACTCAAAAAGCCTTCAGAACTGCACTCACAAAACCAACTAAACTCCTACTTCCAGATATCCATAATTGCAAAACTGTTAATTTGAGTTTCTGCTTCAATTTCTTAGAACACTTCCAGACCTCCAGAATTGCACTTAAAAAAAAACATACATCAGATCACTTCCAGACCTTAATTTTTACAACTAAACTGCTACTTTTTAATATGAGCTTCTGCTTCAATTTATGGACTGGTCATTGCTACAACATTTAATTTTTCCTTTAATTCAAGGAATTGAACTGCTGATAAGGCTTTAGTAAGGACATCAGCAATTTGTAGTTTAGACGAAACATATTGAACCATGAGTTTTTTTAGCTAAAACCTGATCCCTGATGTAATGAATATCAATCTCAATATGCTTGGTCCTTGAGTGAAAAATAGGATTTGCAACAAGAGCACCAACACTGACATTATCACACCAAATTACTGGAGGAGTTTTCAGAATCATTCCTAATTCAGAAAACATACTTTGCAACCAAGCTATTTCAGTGGATGTGTGTGCTAAGGCTCTATATTCAGGCTCTGTTGAAGAAAGAGCAACAACTCTCTGTTTTCAAGAACTCCATTGGATAAGATTAGGGCCTAGATAAACACAGTAGTCACTTGTGGACCGTCGATCATCTAAACTGCTACCCCAATCTGCATCAGCATAGCATTCAACATTCAAAGACACAACTGGTCTGAACTGCAACCCATGATATTGTGTACCTTTGATATACCTTAAAACTCTCTTACAAGCTTGCCATTGAAGCTTCGTTGGTACTTGTAGAAACTGGCTCAGCTTATTAATAGTAAAGCTGATGTCGGGTATAGTTAGAGTTAGGTATTGAAGCGCTCCAATGGTGCTTCTGTAGAGGCTAGGATCTTGGAACAGTTCACTGTCAGTAGAAGACAGTTTTGTGCCAACATCCATTGGTGTGGGACATGCATGAGCACCCATCATCTTAGTTTTGGACAGCAAATCAACAATGTATTTTGTTTGCTTCAAATGAATTCCAACAGAGGTCTTTGTGGCTTCCAACCCAAGAAAGTACTTAATAGATCGAAGAGTTTTTAAGGCAAAACTCTTAAGAGTTTGTGGCAGTTCTGAAGCTATATTGAGTGTAACCAGTTCTGAAGTTGTAAAAACGAAGTTCTCTATTGTATGTTGCTGGAAGAAAACAAGAGGCTCTGAAACCATATGAAGAGTAGTCCAATTTGAGGGGAAATGTCAACCATATAATGTAATGGGTGCAAAGTGCAGTTCTGTAAAAGATAAAGGGTCTCATAGTAATTCACCAATACACTATCGTTTTGAGTTGACCTTCTTTACTTTGAGCTCAAACGAGCTACTAAACTCTCTTCACTTTACACTTTACCAATTCTTTCATATATTCTCTCCTTTGTATATAAGAGAGATTTTGGTTGTAATTTTAGTTCAATTAACTAAATACAAATCAGATCTACACATTATTTCTTTCTTTTTTAAATCTTCACATGGTATCAGAGCTCAAGTTCAGTTGAGCTGAGTGCTTGACCAATGGGTAATGGGTTAGAGCCGATAACTACCTCCAGTAATAGGCATGACCTAACATATGGGCTTGACCGTGAGGGGGAGTGTTGGAGTCCCAAACTGACTAGGCATGCTCAAGCCTATTGGTTTATAAGAGGAGGTAATCCTCCCATTCAAAAATGCCTTATTGTGTGAGGAGTCAGGCCTATCTCAAATTCTATCATATGGAGAAATCAAAGATAGGTGGAGGCTGATCAAGGAAGAGTGCATGTGTATTTAACATCAATTGATGTTGAAGAAAAGGGCAGATCTCATATTGGGAAAACCTAAGGTTTTCGGATTGGGTGTGTTCTTTACCTTTTGTGAAGTTTTTCTTCTCTAGTTTGTTCATCATCTTGTACACTTTGCTTATTAATGAGAATACCCTACTGTGATCCTTGAAAGTGGATGTAGGCTGCAAAGCCGAACCATTATAATTGCTGTGTCTTGTGTTCTTTTGCTAATTCTCTTTATTTGCTTATAGCTTTATTGATTGATTCTCTAAATTGATTGATTTATTTGTTCATTAAGAGTTAGTCAGTAAACCCTAGAATTCCAACAAATTGGTATCAAAATCTGGTTAAAGGTTCAGTTAGGGTTTCACTGGTTTGCTCATGTTTCAATTTATTTTTGGGCTTTCTTAGCTGTTCACTTTTCTATTACTATGTTTTTTGAA